TTTATGGCCCAATGAATCACTTTCTTTTTTTTTTTTTTTAATTTGTAAATTTATCAGAGAAATATGATAAAGTTATTAAAATAATTTAAAAAATCAAGCAGAAATTCTTGAACTGAGAAATTCAATAGCTGAACTGAAAAACGCATTGGGGGGCGTTTCTTTTTTTTTTTTAATGATTATAAAGATGTGGGGTACAATTCAGGGCTAGGTATACAGATGTTGATTATGCAGGTACCCTTGTAGATGAGGTGTGCCCCTCCCTCCCTCAATCCCACCACCATCCCCTGACAGTTTTCCACTACTGCCAATCCCTTTCTTATAGTGTTATGATAATTGTTCAAGGTCCACTTATGAGTGAGAGCATATGGTTACTCTGTTCTTTGTTTCTGTGATAGATCACTGAGTATCATTGACTCTAAATTCTTCCAAGTTGGCTATGAAGTTCATAAATATTTTATAATTTTTATGTGGTAATTTTTTTTTTTTCACCTAAAATTCTTGTGGGTTTCTTCTTTCGCCTCACCTGATTGTCTATTTTGGGCTTTATTTTACTTTTTGAGAGATTTGTTCAAGTTTATCTTTCTAGGCTTTCTATTTACTTTTTTGAAATTTCAGCTTTCATATTTCTCATTTCCAAGAACTTTTTCTTAGTCAATGTCTTTTCCTTTTTTAGAGTATCCTGTTCTTGTTTCATGAAAGCAATATGTTTTACTAGAGATATTAATTGTATTTTTTCTGAGCTTTTTTCCCCTGTTCTCTGTTATATTTTGCATTTTATTTCTGTTATAAGGCTGGCTACATAATGTTTTATAGCTAGTTGGGGAAAGGGAACTGGGGTACCGCCCTCTTCCGTGTGCTCATATCCATTGAGGTCCCTATTTTTATCTGTCACACCTGCTCTCCTCTTTGCCTGGTGTCCCCAAATCCAGATCCTCTGCAGTCTGCTTTTTTTTTTTTTTTAAAGAAACATTTCATGTCCTCTGTAGAGTGGGGAAATGTGGGAATCAATTTTTTTTTAAATACACATTTTGAAGCAATTCTTTGTTTCTATCTTGTCTCACCCTCACCTTTCAAGCCAACTAGGAACCCATGTTCCAGGCTTGTCTTTAGTTCTATGTGGCTTGCATGTCGCTATGCTGCTTTGAGGTTTGCAGTTTCTTCTCTTACTGAGTCATTTGGGACTTCTCCATCTGATTTCTGTTTTATATATTATAATTTGGTATTTATAAATGCCTTCGAGTTTTACCATAGATCAAAGTTGTACTTCTCTCTCTTGTTTTCTTTGTTAGGGGGTGATTTTTGAGAGGAATGCAGAAAAATTAACGTCTTTATTCTATCATCTTGAAATAGAAAAATCTTATTAGATTGATCTCAGGCAGTATAAGTCCCACATTTATCTTAAACAAAATTGAGTCTGTTAGGTGCTTTGGTGTGTGTGTGTGTGTGTGTGTGTGTGTGTGTGTGTGTGTGTGTGTGTTTAAAGTAAGATAGCCAGGCTCGGTAGCTCAGCCTGTAATCCCAGTGCTTTGGGAGGCCAAGGTAAGTTGATTGCCTGAGCCCGTGGGTTTGAGACCTGCCCGGGAAACTTGGAAAGACCTTGTTTCTACAATAAATCAAAAATTAGCCGGGCATGGTAGTGTGCGCCTGTAATTCCGGTTACTCAGAAGGCTGAGATGGAAGGATCACTGGAGCCCAGCGGGTTGAGGCTGCGGTGGCCGGGAACGTGCCACTGCACTCCAGTCTGGGCGATGGAGTAAGGCTCCAACTAAAAAAAATAAATAAATAAAACAAAATAAAGTGAAATAATGATGCATCTAATTTAATTGATGAGAAAATTGCATTGATTCTCAATTTATTTGATACTGTAATAGAAAGACTCATTCCATGTTAGTGATGTTTTCAAGACTAGCGTATCCTTTAAGGAATCAGACCTTTTATTTATTTTATGTTTTTGGAATCAAACCTTTTATTTGACCAACTTTTAATTGAAATTTCTCCAGAATTTGTCAACTATTTCCCTACAGAAAGAGATGAATGCACTCTTTTCTTGGTTTCTCATAGCCATCACACAAATATCATTTATTGCACTGTGGTGTAATCTGGTGACATCTCTGGGGATGGTGCCTTCTCTTTCACTGAATTCTTCCAGGCACCTGGTTTTTAAATTCATAATTGATTTTGCAGAGATGGCTGTCATTTCCCAATGAGTCATCTGCTTCGGGAAGGGCTCTCTATTCCCCTGACACTGCACTCTGTTTAATTGACTGTCTGGTGTGCTCAGAAAGAACTGAGATTGGCAGCAGAAAGAAAATATCCAGGCTGGCGAAACCAGGAGTCTTATATTGAATTCCAAATCCTGGTCAGTAGACTCTGGTGGAATAGCATGACTATAGTTCCTTCTAGTTTCCATGATTCTACAGAGCAGACTTCTCTGGCTATGTGGCAGCTCTGTTCTTACTGCTTAGCCTTAGACCAAGGTCAGGCAACTCTTTGTTGTGGGGCCATCCTGACCTCTGGCCCCACAGAGTAGGATCTCTGGCCTATACTCACTAGATGCCATTAGCACCCCTGCCCCCCAGTTGTGATAGCCAAAACATTGGTTGTGATATTGACAAATGTCCTCTGGAGGGGCAACATGGACTCCTGCTAAGAACTTTAAATTATGGGTCTCCTCTTTCTTCAGATTTTATAACCTTCTCCTGGATGATTAAAGGTATAGAAAGCGTGACAGCAATGAAATGGAATAGTATCATGACTCCCTCACATTTTGCAAAGCTTGAAATCATTCCTAAAGCATCCATGCTTTCATACTTTAAGAGTGATAACCATATATTCATTGTTTTAAATATTCTGATAACTAACATTTATGGCATGCTAGTTTCTTGAGCCCACTCTCGTTGTGTGCCAGGCCCTGTTACGAGCATTGTCAATACTCAGAGGGAGAAAGTGTCATCGCCTCACTTTAGCGGATGGGGAAACTAAGGCGCAGAGCATTTAGGTACATCCCCTGAGTTTGCAATGTGTAACTGGCCGTGATGTCTCACCCTGGCAGTGAAATGTCAGAGCACACATGTCTCACTAACACACTGTGTGGGCTTTCCTTTAAGATCAACTGTGTGACTGTGTGGCAGCTCCAGTCCTATCCATTGTAGACTCAAAGAGGACAAGGCTGCATGTTTCCCACGGTTATACTTCCTCTTGTCCAAGCCAGTTCTTGACGTGTAGTGGAGGAACGGTGAAGGCTCGTTGTACTAAATGCGTGGAATTGTTCTAAACACCAGTCTCACGGCTGCTTACAAAACAGGGAACCACACCAAAAAATGAAGTGCTTCGTATGCATCTTAGGGTTTCTTGAAAGAAGATGCATGGTGATATTGCAGACCACGAATGTGTTGCCAGTCTCTGTCACCAGGAGGAGAACTGCCTACAACTACAACAAAAAGGTGGTGGTTATGTCATTATGGCCTTCACGCTGCTCCCGTGACCTGCTTGGCTGGCACAGTTGGGAACCAAGATGACTTGCTTGACAGAGAGGCACTGTCACTTCTTTAGAATTATTAGACTGTGGCAGAACACACTAAAGCCCTGGTGACACACACTTGAAGAATGTGACCTTTCTTGAGGATGTTAGAAGGTGTGACCTCGTAGCATCTCCGGGTCCAGACACTGATGTGTTGGCTAACCAAGAGTTTCTGGAGGGTGTTGACAGATGGCTTCAATTCATCGTCATCTGTGATGGTAGTTCTTTTAGAAGACCGTGATAAGTTCGTACTCTGACATTTGCTTTCCAAGTTTCTTTAGATGGTTTCAGGAGTGGATTGGGAAGGCACACGTTATAGTTTTGTCCTAGTTGCGATGTTAGCTGGTACAGTGATGGATAGAGTTTTGCTGCTGGATCCCTTGGTCAAATTGTTCATCTTTTATAGCTGGACTCTTAATGTTCCTGTTTCCATTGCCCATTAAAAGTAAGGCTGTCCCTAGATTTTTAGCTGAAACGTGCTCAGAGATAGGGAAGATGGATGGGCTTATCACTTTTAACATTCAGACTTTTTCCTCCTCTGATTATGTCCTTGTGGAATACCCAAAAGGGTTAATTCAGAAAAGGTCTTAGTAAGTCAGGATGCTGTACCTGGTTCAAATGTCCTTTTTTGACAGGGGGACATTAGAGAATGTCCTAATGGTGATAATATTGGGGAAATTCTAGAGCAGAAACTACCTACCTTGGAAATTCAGATCAGGAGAATTTGGGGGCTGGATACGGTGGTGTCCATCTGCAGTCCCAGTTACTTCAGAGGCTGAGGCCGGGGATTGCATGAGCCTAGGAGTTTGAGGCCAGCCTGGGCAACATAGCAAGACCCCCATCTCTACAAAAATAAAATAATTTTTTTAGTAATAGTAGTCGATACTGAATACATCAATGACTTAAACACTAATAAACAAATACTCATTAGACAAACTGACCCTTCAACAACCAACACAAATATCTTCTGGTCTTTGGGCTTTCTGTCCCAGAATAAGTTAGTTGGGCTGTCCTTAAATGGTCCTACAGCGGTTTGCTTATATTCCCCAAAACAGTCATGTCCCCGCTGTTTACTAATTCATCTGTTTTCGTGTCTTCTTCCTGCCTGGATGGTGAGGTTCTGGGAGAGAACCACTCACCTTTGTATCCCCAGCACCTGGCATGTGTAGGCTGGTATGTGGGAGATAGTTTATGTGCATTAGATGAATGAGTAATAAATAGGCGAACTCATTAAACTTCATCTTTCACACCGGGAAGAAAGAGGACTTATCATATTGAAATGTTTCCCACTTATAATACTAAGTAACTCCCTTTTATGATTTAGAATAAGGAGTTCAGGGTGCAATTATTATTTTTTTTATCACCTTTCTTGTTTTCTTCTCCTATCTACCCCTCCCTTCCTCTCAGCCTCAAGAAAAGATGTGCATTAATTTTCTTCAGTTCAGAGATTTTTGAAGGGCACCCCTTTTTCTCTTTCCAGGCGGGTATTAATGAAAATGATTTTCATGATGGGGCATGGTGTGCGGGAAGGAATGACCTCTACCAGTGGATCGAAGTGGACGCTCGGCGCCTGACCAAATTCACGGGTGTCATCACTCAAGGAAGGAACTCGCTCTGGCTGTAAGTGTCCCTGGACCTGTGCTGTCTGGACCCTGTGCCTTGGTTCTAGTGTTCCAAGAAGGTCTGGACAAACACTGGAAAGTTGCAGAGAGGTATCTGCTGATGGACAATAGAAGGGGAGAAAATAGGACTGTGGGCAGGGTGCTGGAATCACTGTTGACACAGATTCTCTTGGAGAGGTGCATCTCTTAGAACACCTTCACCACCCCAGACTACACAGAGAGGGAGAGAAGCACCTGCCTGGCAGGTAAAGTGAAGTTGACAAAGGTGTGGTCAAATCCATGCAGTTTAAGCAGGTGGCTGCCATCTTGGCTTTAAGGCGAAATATCGGTGTGCTGACTGGTGGACGGAACACGGCGCAGGTTAGGACCTCTGAACAAGCAGTGAGCACATGGTCCTGGGTAGAGGACCTTAATTATCCAGATTCTGGGAAGAAGGACTGAAAACCCAGGCAGGCTCCCACATGAAGGCCTACTAAAGAAACAGAAGTGAAGGATAACGCAGTGTGAGACCTGAGAAGGAGAGGGGGTTCATTTCTCAGAATTGGGATTGGGGTCAGGGCTGGGTCAATGAAAAGTGTGACCTGGTGGTAATTCCAAGAGAGGATTTCAGCCTCATATGGTATAGGTATACATAGGAATAGATCATTCAGTCTTAAAGAGGAAGGAAATTCTGATACATGCTACAACATGGATGAACTGGAGGACACGTGCTCAATGAAATATGCCAATCAGAAAAGAACAAATATTGTATGGTTCCACTTACATGAGGACCTAGCATGATCAGAGTCATAGAGACAGAAGGTAGAAGGGTGTTGCTAAGAGTTAGGGGGAAGGGAGAGAGGGAAGTCAGGGTTTATTGGGTACAGAGGTACATTATGAGATGACAAGAAGTTCTGGAGATGGATGGTGGTGATGGTGGCAAATCAGTGTGAATGTATTTAATGCCACAGAGCTGTACACTTAAAATTGGTTAAAATGGTATATTTTATGTTATGTGCATTATGTGACAATAAACACAAAATAGATATTAAAAAACTGTCAATCTCAGCTCAGAACTGGCTGTAGAGATGATGCAGGGGTGCACTGTGGGGGTTTTTATGGGCTCCAGCCATGTGGACAATACGTTGGGGGGCTTGTGGAGGGTGGGTACAGCAGGGTCACAGGACTTCAAGTGCTTTCTGAATTTAAATGGGAATCTTCTAGTTTCTCTAATTCTGCCTACACAGAGAACCTAAGACCACAAAGGCCCCACATTTGAATGTTAGGACCTGGACTGCCGTCCTTGTCAGCTAAGACCCTCCTGCCAACAGACTGCTCCCCACCCATGCTACACTCTCAAATTCATTTCTTGGCATCTTTCGACATTTACTAATACCTGTTGGCAATCATGGGAAACCAGACTTTAATCTGATGACTAGATTAATTTTAATTTCTGGAAAGTTCAAAATTAATAAATCCACTGGGATAAGAGAGATGAGTCTGGCATCTGTGCTCACATTTAATCACCTGTCATTGTCCCTGCAAAGGGGACTTCCTTACACAGTGACAATTGTCAGGCAATGACTCATCACCTATTTTCCTCTGCATTTTTAAAAAATATTATAACAATTTTGTAACATCTGGCAACATTTTAAAACATTATCTGTGAGTCCACAGTCCTTATGCACATGTATTTTTTTCCATATTGCAATCATATTACACATTTAATTACATTATTTTTAACTTAAAGGCATCGGTAACATTTTTATGCTGTTACTCAGGCTTCAGAGTGATCATTTTTAATGGCCTATAATTTACTCAGTCTCCCCTCCATCCCCGTCCTAATTTTCTATGACCATATATCATGTTGCAAGAAAGCATTTTCATACTGTTTTCTTCATTTCAATTATGTTCTTCAGATAAGTTTCTAGAGCTAGGATAATTTGTGCATTTTGACAACATTGTGGTATGTGTGCAATTTTGTGTGTCATATTCTGTTTGCTTTCGTTGCTGATTTTTGCTCTATGGTATGCATTTTGTTCTCATCGGTGACTTATTATCATGATAGTCGTTTTCACAGGTTGTATTCTGAAAAGCAAGAATTTGGGGCAGAAATAGTTGGATTGCTGAAAAAAAAAAAAAAGAAAAGAAAACTAAAATAAGGAGAAAAAAGAAGAAGAAAAAAAAACTGGTTTGAGATTATCCAGAGGGGTGAGAACAGGGATTTTTTTACCTTGATACTTGGATATCAACCTGTTTGACCACTGTCACTAGAGATCCAGGAATTGGATCATTATCACTGAATTAGAGAATCAGAGCAAGTATAGAGTTCACTTTCCATTTCAACTAGAAACACAAGAGGGCTTGGGGTAAGTAAGAAACTGTAGTAGAACATTATCTTTCCTTGGCTTAGCTAGGACAGAAACATCTAAAAGAGATGGCAAGGTATAGAATTACTTTTATGAGTCAAGTTTTGAATGCCTAGATGTATTTCAAGTCAAATTATTCTTCAGGAACAGTGAAACAAAATCTGAAGAGTTTTGGGTTGTCTTACTTCCTGGAATAGTACCGTCTCCACTAAGGACGGAAGACGAAATGGGATGAGGAGGATACATTTTGGTACCTGAGCCCTTTTCTCCCAGAGGCATGAATCATGCTGGAGACATTGGGTTCTATTCTAGAAAATATGTCAAAAATAGGTATCATTAAATACTGACAGTAATCATCCCCTTGCTCTCTCCCTATGACCTGTTCCCCACACTGCATCCAGTACAGACAGCTATGGTGCCATTTTTAACATTTCCGTTTATTGGTTTCCATATTTCTTCCCACTAGTCTGTGGTTCCCCTGTTGTTAGAGCCATGCCCTGCTGGTCTATATCCCTGGGACCTCGTTCAGTACCCAGCATCTAGTAGATGTGCAAGAAGTGCTCTTTAATCAATAGGTATCATTATGAAGTAAAAAGTTGATGAAGATTAACTTGTACTGAATGGTAATGAGTTAATTTATGATAGTCAATGAATGAGAGTGGGCTTAAAAGGTAAGGGTGGGGCGTGGCTCAGGAAGAGAAGGTTGAGTCACAGAGACTTCTAGAGATAGAAGGCTCTAGAACATTTTTGGCTTTGGAATCACATCAGGACTCTTGGCCCTTGTTGGTTATGAGATTTCCCTTCTCTGAGCCTCAGTTTTCTATTCTGTAAAGTGGGATACCTGTTCTCTATCGCATAAGGCTGTGGTGAGGGTTCATTGAAATTATATTATAATGTCTTAAAATGACCCAGCCCACAATAAATACTCACTAAGTGGAAACTACTTTCCTCCATACCTCTTTGGGTTTATCTAGGATAGTGTTTTCAAGCTCTATTTTTAGCTGCAGATTTCTTCTCTCAAATAAAATATTTATTGGAAATGCTTCGAAAATGCACACAGGTGAAGCTGCTCCTTGTGAATTTATGGGTGGGGTGGGGGAGAGTTGCCTGCCTGGTCTCCCCGACTCCTCACAGGAACACCCCTGGAGGACAAATTCATCAAAGTACCTCTGTAGAAAAGCCTCCTAAACAGCTCGAGGGTGCCTCCTTGCAGGTTACAATCTTGCCCACTCCTTCAAACACTCATTGCTCCTTTCCAAATCCTGCAGGGTCGCAGCCAGATCTAGAATTGAAACCAAGACAAGCAATGGCAGAATTAGAATTAGAGTTTGATTTTTCTAGTTAAGTGTGCAGAACATACCCTAATCTCACAGAGTGATGCATTTTGCTTGGTAACGTCTGAGACTAGAAAGGGAAGGGGTTCAAATAGTTTCTATCTGGTTGCTGAAATACAGAAGGACTTTTCTAACAGTTGGAATTACAATAGAGATTTAAGAATACTATTAACACTTTTCATTTATAGGACTTTTATAGTTGGTATTTAAAAATGCACATTTGTCATCGTATTCTGTATAGGAATAAGGCATTCTCTATATGTTTATTAATTCATTCATAGGATGTTTATTGAGTGCTCTATACTAGCACTTAGAGATATAAAAGTGAGCAAGAAATGACCCTGCCTGCAGGGAGTTTTCAGTCCAGTGGACGAATCCTGTGTCTTAACGAGTCTGCTGGGATCAGCAAAGTACATGCTGACCTGAGGTGGGAACAGGAGAGCTGTCATTAGACCTGGGATGCAGCTGGGAAGGATGACATTGTGAGGTCATGAGGCTTAGCCACCACAGTCCTGAGACGAGTTCATAACTAAGTTGATGTCAAATCCACAATTCCAATTTCAATAATTTTCCAAATAATTCATGCTGCTAGAAAGTAGTAAAATGTAATTACTTAATGATACTGAATAATTTATATTTTCTATAATTATAAATTATTCTTCCCCACTGCATTGCAACTTAGTGAACTGTTAGTACACTAATAAAACCCAATCTTTTATTTCCCCAATGACAGAAATTATATTCCATATATGAGTGTGACAATTAGAAGCAATGTGTTGATTGAAAAGTTAATTATTCCCTTTGAGGTGAACAGATGCTTCTAATGACTTGGAAAAAACCCAGGCAATTTAAAATAACCAAATCTTTTAAATTTCAACGGTTTAAGAGACAAAACGATTCTCTGTATCTCTTGAGAGTCTGTAAGTTTGTTCTTAGAGTAAGGCAGCAATGTGATTAATGAGTTTATAGGGTGAGGGCAGAGGAAGGTTGACTGGGTGGCTACATTTGTAAAAGGTACTTAGGCTAATTAGAGGAAGATGAATGGGGTTTCAGTTGTGAGCCAGGCTTTGTGCCCAAGAACACAAGGATGGGGGAAACTCAGCCCTGAACCCTAAGAAGCTTGCTTGTTTGACAGTGAAAAGTCTTAGCAAGGATTCTGAGTGTCAGCTTCTTTGGAAGATTCTGAGGGTGAAGGAAAGAAGCCGGCAGGCTACCAGAAGTCAGAAGGAAAAAAATGACAAATGAAAGGCGAATCCTTTTCCTTGCTTCTTGGGAAGACACCGGTGTACTTTGACCAGGGAGAGAATCCAGTTACA